CAGGGACTGCAGGAAGGGTGAGACAGGACAAGGAGGAGGCGGCCATCAGGGACTGCAGGAAGGGTGAGACAGGACAAGGAGGAGGCGGCCATCAGCGGCTGCAGCAAGGATGAAACAGGACAGGGAGGAGGCGGCCATCAGGGACTGTGGCAAGAGTGAAACAGGACAAGAGGGAGGTGGCCATCAGGGACTGCAGGAAGGATGAAACAGGACAGGGAGGAGGCGGCCATCAGGGACTGCAGGAAGGGTGAGACAGGACAAGGAGGAGGCGGCCATCAGGGACTGCGGCAAGGCAATTCAGTTAGATCCCAGCTACATTGGGGTAATACTAAGGAGAGCAAAGCTGTAGGAGAGGACAAACTATACGAAGTCCTAAAGACTGTAAGTCTACACTAGCAAAGGATCCGCCCATGCATCAAGCAAGAGAGGCTTGTATGAGATTACCTAAGCAACCTGAAGAAGGTAACACAAGGCCAAAAGAAGAGATGTTAGGTAAACTAAAAGATCTTGTGAACTTGGTTTTCCAACTTTTGGGCTCTCCACAGAAAATTTCCAGACCAAGAAAGATTCCTCCACTGGCTCCTATTCCATCAAGTTTGTTCTAAAAGGAAGTGTGTACTGCTTGCTGTTTGCAGGGGACAAGGCCCTGCCAATGCTTAGCCGCCAAAGCATCCTCCGTAAATGACGGCTGTCCTGCGGAGCCAGCACCCCTCCGCCCCTGCGTCGTGACTTCACAGGTTCACCATGGTGCGCCACACTCAGCTGACATTTCACAGAGCCACCCTGCAGCTCTTGTCCTTGCCCAGGGGAGGCCTTCTTGTCCCAGTGGGCCTCAGAGCCCCACATGGCCACCACCGCAGCAGAGGCCTCTCCCTAAGCAGCAAGTTGGGAGACGTGGATGGAACGGCCGAGTCCCCAGAAGCTGCTGCCTCGCTGGCCACTCCCTCTCTGGGCTAGGTGAGGGCTCCCTGGTGTCCCCGCTTTCCTGAATAAAGCTTCTGTGACAATTAAAAAAATTTAACACCCTTATATAATGTTATGATTTCAAAAATCACAGAGGACATGACTTATAAAACCCAGAAAGTGTATCACCTTAACACTCAATGTATTTGCTAGTGTACTTCCTCTTCTATTGAGAATCATTGCAGAAACATGAAGCACTGAGCTTGGTCTAATTTATATTTTAAATAGCTGAGGAGCTTGTAAGTCAGGACTATGAGAACAATGGGAATACACGGTTTGTGTTTATAATGTTTTACAGTTTACAGATTAGTTCTTCTTTCTACTCTCACAAAAATTCTGGTGCACGGACAGTGCAGTTGTTGTATCTCACTTTTAAACCTGAGGGGCTTGCAGCTCCGAGCCGACCTGCAGACACGCCAGCCGCACTCAGCATCCCGACCAGGCAGGGAAGGCTGCCTGAGAATGGAGGCGGCGCTCTCCAGGGACGCCACGCCTCTCTCCGACGAGCATGTCCCTAATTCCAAAGGCTGCCTCTTTGGAATTTCTTTCAACTCAACTCACATTCATTGTAACCCACATGCAGTTCACCGAAACACACAGTCATTCCAAAAAGTTGATTTAAAAATTTACCACTGATTTTTGTAATTATTTTCTTAGTAAATTCACCAGCTATATATAATAATGGTTATATGACTACTAAAGCAATTAAAGTAAATGGAAGGGATGCAGGTTTAAGAATACTGGATAAGAATGACAAGAAAATGTGATTTTTAAAATCTGTTTTCTGTCATCATTGCTCTCTGAGAAACTGAACTACTATTGCAATTCTCAGGTGCTTTAAACATAGGAGGCTGAAATAATTTGGAGAAACTGGGATAAATTTTGGTTAAGCAAATTGTCTGAACTGCATTTAAGTCCAGAGACTGGCACATTGAGGTGTGTGCATACGTATAAAGACAGACCTGCAGATATTCCTCATATGCATAATAACTGAAGAGTCCCATGCAAAATACGCACTTACTAATCAAGTATTGTACACACTAAAGAAAGAGCAGCACACACGAAATTCAACTGGTATTTTCCAGATAAAAAGCACCCAGACTTTCATCAATGTATATCTTTAATCTAATAATAAAATACTTTTTACAGAGTCATTCCCAAGCGGTAGCACTGCGAACCACGTGACAGATCTGGGCTGAGTGACTGCAGAGAGCAGTGCTGAGGAGAGCGCGCCTTCCACACGTCGCACACGGAAAGCACGGTGACTCCAGAGAGCAGTGCTGAGGAGAGCGCGCCTTCCACACGTCGCACACGGAAAGCACGGTCCTCGCGGTGAGAAGAGCTAAAATATCTGTCTACAATTACTCATCGGAAAGGAAAAGACAAACAGGGAGAAACACGGAAAGGGGGGAGGAGAGCAACAGCAGAAGGAGCAAGCGCCTCCAAATGAGAGGAGCGCAGAGGTGCGCCTTCAGTCAGTAACGCGGGAGTCAAGCGAGAAGATCCTGTCTCAGTAACCAAAAACCCCAGCAAAAGTCAGCATGTGATGCAGGAAGGGTTATTCTCTTCATTCGGGTTAACTCAATATGCCCTAAGAAAACAAGTCACTATCAGCATGGCTGATTACTGTGCATAAAATATGACTGTATTACAATTGTAATATTTCATTTGTAAACCACAGAAAATGATGACTGGTCATTTGTTTTATCAAAATTAAATAGGTATTATACATATGTGATGAGATTTTTAATATATAACGCACGATACAAAAGGACGTGCCATTTTAATCGTCCAGGCCATGAAATCACTCTTTAATCCTATTTCAACCCTAGCTGTTCAGAAACAATCTAAGGAAGATATCACGGTAAAGATGGAGATGCTGAAAAATATGAGGTGGAGGTGGCAGAGGAGTGGACGACTAGACTGCGGGCACTCACGAGAGGAAAACACACTCTCCCCGACTGGCGTGCAAGCGCTCGAGGTGTGCTGCTCGCTGCTGCGCAGCTCTGCACGTTCCCCGCGAAGGTCACGTATGGGACTCACGGTGCCTGCCTCACCACAAATGCTTTGCGGCTGTGTGCTTCAGAGGCCAGCAGGCTTTTGCCCCCAGCCTCTGTACTTGCGTAACTCCAGCACGTTGCGTTAATTTCTACAGCACAACAAAACCATTCAAGGTCACTTCTACT